GTTTCTCAAAGTAGTTCTCCATTTTGCATTATCCTAAAGTCCTCTAGATTTATGCTAAGTGGCACAATCAGTGGTGCAAAGAAGCTGTCCTCTGGGCTGGCCGTTACTAGCTCTTGTGCATTTTGCTTGTTTGACCTCAGATGAGTGTTCCAGTACTTTTGAGCAGAGCATCAAAGGAAAGCACAATCATTTTTAAAAAGTTGTAAACATCTCCCTAAATTGTTATCACCATTACTCATGACAGCAGAACCAACAGATGTCTGTGATGCAGACTCATATGGCATGCAGTAAATAAACAGTACTTGATACACAGTACTTGATACATGGCCCAGGTTAGCCCGATCTCATCAGATCTCAGAAGCTAAGCGGGGTCAACCGTGGTCAGTATTTGGAAGGGAGATCACCAAGGAATACCAGGGTTCTGATGTGAAGGCAGGCAATGGCAAACCACCTCTGAAAGTCTCTTGCCTTGAAAACCCCACAGAGTCGCCATAAGTCAGCTGAGACTTGACGGCAAAAAAAGAGGAAAAAAGACACTAGCAATTTCCCATCGTATACTGCATTCCCATAAATTGCTGTTAAGCTAGAAACTTGAAAGCCCCTGGAAACTATGGCAACATTCTTGTGACCTTTGACCACCGTCACACTTTGTAATTTCTCCTCATTGACAGGAAATTCAGAATAAGCAGAAAGTGGGTCCCACAGATGAAACCCCTCGAAGGGGCCCAGAATCTCTACCGGTTGGACACCATGATATTATTACAGACATTGCTACTTTCCAGACCACTCAAGGGTTCATTGTTACTGCATCCCGAGATGGCATTGTAAAAGTGTGGAAATGAAGATTGCACTGATTTGTATTTACTGTAAATACTTGTAATAAAGGTAAAAAAATATTTGCTTCCAGAACATGAAATAATAGACTGTGAGGCCGATGAAGGTGATCGATAAATCTCTTGCCAATGTTATCACTGTAATACTAGTGGCCGTTTCAGATCTCCCTATTTTATTAAGTAGCTTGGTTTATGTAGCACTTTCCAAAAGTACCAAACGAAAGCAATTAGAATGAAGAACCGTGGTACTGCTTGGAAGCCTTTATCATTTGTTTTGCCTGTTATAAACATGATAAAATGCTGTTACGCTGCACACCAGCAATATTTATGGAAACTGACTTTTTGTTACAGACTGGACAAGAAAAAGTTATAAAGTTAATTTTGCACTATTGTTCACATATATTCGAATTCTTGTATACTTCTTATTGAAAAATAAATCGTTTGGATCATTCCTCTGTTCCTAAGTTGTGAGGAAAGGCTACTGATGACCCTGTTGTTATATGCCTTTACAGATCGTGTTAAAGAATTTGATTTAGTTTGATTCTGGGCTTGTTCTCATGTAACAACCAGAAACCAGAGGATCTCTCTTTCCCCTGAGCCCACCCCCCTCCGAATTTCAGAGGAGCAGAGCAACCCTTTCCCCCATAAAGCTGCATGGTAAGTCTTAAATGGTATCCTGCAAGAAAACAGCTACTGGAGTAGGGCTCAATTCTGTGGTCTCTGATGTGCATCTGTATGGAATCACCAAGAGTGGGGCTGGGTGCAGCCACCTTTTCTGCTGGTGAAAATGGAAAGAGGGGTTTCCTTTGACCACCAAAAAGGCTTGTGCTAGGCATCGTGGGACCTGCATGTAGAAAAGCCACATGGGACAGGGGCTGAGGAGAATTGAGTGGAAAAGGTGGCTGGCTCCAACCCTTTTGCATGGTGTTGTTATTCCAGCTGGTGTGCCTGTCTTGTGTGAGAGATCCACACAGTCCATGAGGAAGATAGCCTTGTGATTGTGGGTCTTTGAACCCTGTGCAAGTTCTGTAGACTGCACTCACACAAAAAAGACTTCTCATTGTGTTCCTCTAACGTTTCAAAGGAACCTATCTCACCCAGCATGTTGGTTGCAGTCTGAAGCCGAGTTCTTCAAGTGAAGCTCTCTTGCAGTGAGGCATTAGTCCCTTCCTCAGCCTTCTTCATCAGATCTTTGATCCTTCCACACTGTCTATTACGTCTAAGTGTTTTAAAAACAATTTTGAGTTTTGAGTAGAGATTTGCTTGACTTTTCACTTCTTCAGCAAAATGCCTTCCAACCAAGTCTTGCAAAACCTGTACTTTTTTCCAGGTGCAAGTTAAACCAGCACAATCCCTTCTTATAAATGGGAAACAATTATTTGAGCTTTCTTTCTGTGCTCATTTTTGGAGATGCTTCCATTAGGAACTTTCTTTTGTTTTAAACCAAATAACTTTAAAACCAGCCTGTATTCAGGTTGTGTTTTATTCCCATTTTGAGAACACACTGAAGAAAAGAAGTATGCTGTTGCATACAGCACAGGTTGCCGTCCACATTTTCTACAACCAGAGATAGTAATGGCCAAAAGTAATTGGATTTAATGAAAAACACAAATGCATGAAAACAGTATCACCATCAGTATGATGTTTTGAACAGCTACCCAGATTCCGAAAACTAAAACAGCAGAAGCATGCATTGGTGGAAACTTATGTCATTGCAGAAACAGAAGAGTTCTGTAAATGTTTGTTTGGGGGGGGTGTACAAGATCCTGAATGTTTTCCTTCCCCCTACATCTGAACTACAAATTGGAGAATGAGTACAGCCAGCTTGGGCCACACAATCCAGATGAGGAAATCACCAGAGGCTGTTGCCTGACAGACAAGCTAACTTTGCAGTATGTTGTGCTCTCTTGGTTCAGTGTAAAACGGTACAATCTGAAATGCAGAAAGCCAAGACATTTTCTAGCTTTGGTATGCAACACGCACACTCTTCTGGTTATGCACACCACACCTGGAAAATACCTATTCACGCGAAATGGCAACGGCAGATATTGAGAAGATAATGCATAGCACCACCTGTTGGATCACATTGGATCACTAAAACCATTTCAAAGCCTGCGTAATTGTATTGTATGAAACTACTTTGATAGACTGAACTATTGTGCATTTGATTGTTGAATACTAGAATAGTGTTCCAGCACTCAGGAAGAGCATCAAAGTACAAGCACCAAGAATGTTTAAAGAAATCAAAAGAGTTTTGTTAAAACAAAAAGTTCACGTGATGTAGGGCTGAGCAGACCTCAATAATGACATCAAAGCTTACAACCAATAGAAGTCTGTCCCACAGAATCATATTCTGCACAGCAGATCCAACAGCTCTGAATACACTAGTGGTTTCTTTTCAGAGCCCACCAATGCCATTGTATCGAACTACTTTGAGTTATGTAGCACCTTCTAAAATTGCTATCAGCGAGTCAGCGACATCGTATCGTACATTCCTTAACAAATCATGGCTGAAAACCTAAGTTCTAGTGTGTTTCTAGGCTTGTTGGCACATAGTGTATGGTCATGCAGAACAGAGGGTCCTGCAAGACAACTGCAGCCATATAGTATGAGCCCCCACCCCAGTACATGACAAACCACACAAACCACATTTCACAAAAAATCCCAACTTCAAGTATAGGCAGATGGGGTCTGAACTTGCTGAGACTGAGAAGGTGAAAGATCTTGGGCTCGTAGTGGATAGCTCAATTAAAATGTAAGCCCAGTGTGCTGGAGCGGTGAAAACTGCAAACTCTAGGGTTGAGTTCAGACGGGCAGTTTGAAGCGGGAGGGAGTCGTGGCAAAAAAGACCCGGAACAAACTGTTCTGGGTTTTCCCGTTCACACTGCAGTGACTGATGCGGGAGCATACCGGGAGGAGGCGCAAGGGAGCGTTCACACTGTTGGCCTGGAGGCACGGCTGTAAGTCACGGCTTTCTTTTTTTGTAATCTGGAGATATGCACTTATGCGCATGAGTGCATGAGCGCATAAGAAAACTGCAGTTTTTGGTGTTCTCACTTTGTTGGTGCGGGATCGACACGGGATAATCGCGCTTTCCAGGGTATGCTACCACTTTCACTAGGTATCTTTTAAACTTGGGAGCGAAGTGTTACAAGACGGGTTGAGTACGGGTGGGGAACGCCTGACAGATGTGCCTGTCTGAACAGCCCATTTAATCTGGTTGTGGAACGTTTCTGAAACGCGCGTATATCAGGGCAAACTGCCAGTCTGAACTCGGCCTATGCTAGGGATTATTAGGAAAGGGATTGAGGCTAAAACAGCCAATAGTGTAATGTCCTTGTACAGATCTGTGGTGCAGCCTCATTTGGAATACTGTGTACAGTTCTAGTCACGGTATCTCCAAAAGGACATATCAGAGCTGGAAAAAGTACAGAGGAGGGGCAGCCAAGATGATTAGGGGGTTGGAGCACCTTCCCTAGGAGGAAAGGCTGAAGAGTCTGGGACTTTTCAAAGAGATGACTAAGGGGGGGACGGACACATGATAGAGGTTTATAAAATGATGCGTGGGGTGGAGAAAGTTGACAGAATTTTTCCTCCCTCTCCCAAAATACTAGAACTCAAGGGCATCCAGTGAAGCTGATGGGCAGTAGATTCAGGACAGAGAAAAGGACATACTGCTTTACACAGAGGGAAATTAAAATGTGGAATTTGCTGCCAAAGGCTGTAGTGATGGCCATAGGAATAAACTGCTTTAAAGGGGAATTGGATACATTCATAGGGGATAGGTCTATCCGTGGCTACTAGCGATGGTGACTGTGGAGCGCCTCCACGCCCAGTAGCACTAAGCCTCCGAATCCCAGGGCCAGGAGGGGAAGGCCTCGGCCTCTATGCCCTGTCGACAGCCCACCAGTTCCAGCAAGTCTCTCATGTTCTTATGAAAAGCACCACCAGTATAAGGATTTGCAAAGTTTTCATGTGTTCCCCCATCCATAGGGTGACTTGAATCCCCTGTTTTTACAATATCCTTTAAACACTACAGGAGCACGAGGTGAGGCACTTTGGGGGGAGCTCCCCCCAAGACACATCAAGCCCCTGCATTCATGCGGGCGGGGCTGCTGCTGTAGGTGTTCTCCATGGAACCATCATACCTCTTGCAGCATAGAAAAACCACACAACACAGTCTGTAGCAAAGAAAGTTTCAGGTGGGTAGCCCTATTAGCCTGTAGCAGTAGGACCAAATTCGAGTCTAGCAGCACCTAAAGGTATCTGATTAAGTGACCTTTGACTAACAAAAGTTTATGGTGGTGGTGGTGCTGATGGAGAGATGTCATTAAGTCACAGCTGACTTATGGTGAGCCCCTGTTGGGTTTTCAAGGCAAGAGATGTTAATAAGAACATAAGAGACGCCAATGTTGGATCAGGCCAAAGGCCCATCCCGTCCAACACTCTGTGTCACACAGTGGCCAGAAATACCAGTGCCATCAGGAGGTCCACCAGTGGGGCCAGGACATTAGAAGCCCCTCCCACTGTTGACCCCCCCCCGAGCACCAAGAAGACAGAGCATCACTTGCCCCAGAGCCCCTATCTATACCTTGTGGCTAATAGCCACTGATGGACCTCTGCTCCATATGCTTATCTAATTCCCTTTTGAAGCCGTCCATGCTTGTAGCCGCCACCACTTCCTGTGGCAGTGAATTCCAAGTGTTAATCACTCTTTGGGTGAAGAAGTACTTCCTTTTATCCGTTCTAACCCGACCACTCAGCAATTTCATGGAGTGCCCACGAGTTCTTGTATTGTGAGAGAGGGAGAAAAGTACCTCTTTCTCTACCTGCTCTTTCCCATGCATAATCTTATAAACCTCAATCATGTCACCCCTCAGTCGTCGTTTCTCCAAGCTAAAAAGCCCTAAGCGCTTTAACCTTTCCTCACAGGGAAAGTGTCCCAACCCTTTTATCTTTCTAGTTGCCCTTTTCTGCACTTTCAGAAATGGTTTGCTGTTGCCTGCCTCTGCATCGCAACCCTGGTATTCCTTGGAGGTCTCCCATCCAAATACTAGCCAGGGCCAACCTTGTGTAGCTTCCAAGATCTGATGAGATCGGGCTAGCCTGGGCTATCCAGGCCAGGGCCACAAAAGATGATACCTGGGGAGATTTTGTTGGTCTTTAGGTGCTACTGGACTTGAATGTTAACCTGTAGGAAAGATGTCGTAGTTGCGGGCCTTTCAGCATTATGTGAGTCCTGCGGGACGAATCCATCTAAACACTCTTCCTATGGCTCTTCTACTAACATTCAAAGGGCACCGGGCCAACCAGCTGCTGGGTTGCATCCTGACTGCTCAAGAACAATTCCCTTGTTTCAAGGCACGCTTCATTCTCCTGCCTAAACGAATGTGTTCCACCCTCCAAAATCCTCTTTAGTACTTCCAAG